CCAGTGTGCCAGGCCGTCAAATCCACACAGCCCAGTAAAGGTGGTCAATCTTCTCCTGATAAAGGCAGTGACCCTCTATTCTAGGCTGAAGACCCTTGCAGTGTCAGACCAAAAGTCCCTTCATCAAAATCAAGAGAGGCATTCTTAATCCTCTTCTGTACCAGGGAGATTGCTGGTTGCCTTCCACCATCTCAACAGCAGATGAACTGACAGCAGTTGTGGATGGCCCTCCTTATCATCTCTCTTCCCAGTCAATTTGTATACATGGGCTTCTAACTCAGGGGAGGGTCACCATCCCTCTTCCTTGTGAGGTCACTCAGGAGGAACCAGAGTGGCGCACAGCGTGTGTCTGAGTGCCCCTGATGGCCAAGGCCCTGACCTGTGGGGATGGGGAGAGAGAGAGGTTTTCTGCAAAAGTCAGAGCCAGTGGGATGCTCTCTCCACAGCTGATATATTCAAGCCTGGTCAGCCCATCATCTCCAGGTAGATGGAATGTAATGCTGGTGAATTTCAGTCAACCCTTCTGCACTTGCTCATGTACAGTGGCCATCCACATCTTTGGAGACATGGTTGTCATCCAGGTCACTGTACAAGACTTTCCAGCATTGTTAGTAGTCTCACATATTGGATGCCCCTTTCAGTGCTGGTGGAAGCAATCTGCTTGCCAGACTGGTGACTGTAATGTTTCAGCTCATTTTGAAGTCTGCCCAAGTTTCGGGGACGGTCATTTCTCTCACTTCCTCCTCTTGTTGCCTTGCTGAAGGACCAGCTGCCTGATCAGATCCTTCCTCCTCCTGCTCCTGTACTAATTTCTGGTATGGACCCCTTGACCTCTGCATTCAGTGATTCTTTTTGACTGGTAAGTGTTGCCACATGTGGATTAGATCCCTGTCTCGACCACTGATGGGAGGGTGAAGGGAGGCTCAAAAAGCAGAAGGAAAGCCCCAGTGTAGTGACAAGAGCTGCTGGGTTTCACTGGAGCAGGCAAGGCACCCTTCCATCAAGTGCCAGTTCAACATGCCTAGAGAGGTGCAAGATCACAGGCTATGGGAGGTGATAACCCCGCCAGGCAGCCACCAAGTCCTCCCACCCAGGGGTCAGTGGCCTAAAGCCTTGTCACCTCACTGGCAAACTGGTTCCTCATAACACCAGACCGAAAGTAGTTTCTATGCAAATAACAAGAAGATAACATTAGTCAAGCAGTTTAGATAAGGATGTGGTGAGGACCTCTGGAGAGGAAGGCAGACACATCAGTCCTGGAGGGGAAGAGAGAGTGAGACCCCTCAGCTCTCCAGAGGACAGCCCTCCTGGCACAGGAACAGTGCCCGTGCCAGGGCCAAGCGCAGGGCTGCTGCTTTTATCAGAATGCTTCCAGGCACAGCAAAACACAGAGATAAGCACTGCAGCAAAAGGAGCCGAAAGCAGCCAGTGCCCAACCCGAGGCTCTGTTACACTGTAAATCAAGTGAGCCCTGTGGCCATGCAGAAGCCTGCCAGCTATCAGCTACAGCAGCTATAGCACGCCCAGATCAAAATGGGCTTTATCTCATGCCCAAGTAAAAGGACTGGTGGGTTGATCTTGGCTGGTTTCCAGACATCCACCTGGATGCTTTCTCATCCCCCCCCCTCCTCAGTCGGACAGGGGGAGAAAATAAGGTTAAAAAACACCTCAAGGGTCAAAGACAGTTTAATAAAAAAAGCAAAGGCTGTTCCTGCAACCAAAGCAAAAAGAGGAATTCATTCCCTACTTCCCATCAGTAGGCAGATGTCCAACTACATTCTGGGATGGAGACCCTCAGCTCGTGTAATGGTAGCTTGGGAAGACAAACACCATAAAAAACCTGACCTGCTATTAAAAGAGATGTGCAGCCTCTCCTTTGTGTACTGTTTACTCTGTGGGATGGATCAGGGGGCTGGGAAGTGTGATCTGCTGAGCCTTTGGCAGGGACCATCTTACTTCCTGTGTGTGCTGGAGTAGGGGTGTACCTCTGCAGCCCAGAAGGTCTCTGTTGGAAAAAGATTAAGCAACAGAGAGTACCTGACTCTTACATCGGGTCACATGAACAATTTACACCTGGGGAAATGCTCACTGCCGAGCTGGTGGCCGGCACCTTGTAGTGTGGGTGAAGCAACCTCTGTGCCTAGGTTGGTTTGTTCTCCAGTTGCTCTTGAGGGACTTTTCTGGTGTTTATATCCAAGTCCAGAGCTCACATCATCTCCAGATGGACTTTCCTGTTCAGGTCAGCTAACAAGGTGGAGGTGTGTCATGGATCATACTCTGGACTGCTGCACATAGATCAGGCACTGCAAATGATCTGGATCTGCATATGCCAGGATGTTCCACAATGCTGCTCAAGAACTGTATCTTGAAGGAAAAGAGGCACATCTGCACTGGAAAAGAAGCACATCTGCATCCTTTTCATATTTCCAGCCCTGACTGGCAAGAGCTGCTTGCAAAAGCAGTCCCACAGTCTGGAGGGAATCTGGCATCAGGCAGCATGAGATGAGGCAGAATTTGTCCCTTGAGGCCAAAGATCACCAGAGGAGTTGCTGGTGAATCCTGAGCAGGAATGCATTCCTTCTGGAAACACTGCTACAAGTACATTGCATAATTCTTGCTGAGCTCTCCCTCCAGGTCGCCATGAGGAGAAAATGTTGGTGTTTAAAGCAGGCAGCTACTTAGCTGGGGACTGGGGTAGGAACAGTGTCAAGGGTCTGCGCCGGGAGCTCTGCTCTTGGGAAAGCAGCCAGAGATGCTGGAGGAAATGAATACCAGTGGCAGCTCTGGGACTGCAGACTAAGTGAGTTTAATGCAGTGTGCAAACAGAACAAGGCTGGTCCCTTCACAGGGTTTGGTAATAAGCCCACAATAATCTGTGCTTTTCAGGTACAGCATGTATTTTTAAAGTGGCTGTTGAGTGTTTCATTTGGTTTTATACAGCGTGCTCTACATGTAATTGGGGTTTTGAGTCTGTGTATTTGATTTCAGAAGTTAAGCAGTAGAAAGAAGGGGATGTCCTGTCATTTCCACTGGACTGTGGTACTAGATTTCCACATGGAAAATACTCCTGGACACATTTTCAAAGCACCCAAGGGCCTGAGCTCTTCTGAAAATATCCCCAGGCTTTTTTTGCAGCCCATCTGGGATACAAACCAGATTTGCTCCAGAGCACAACTTCTGGCTTTCAGTGGTTTAATTTTGCCACATCCTTTTTCTTCATGAATATTGCAGGAAGATTTCTGTGACAACCATAAACAAAAAACCAGAAATTCAGCATCCTGCCAATCTGCATGCTGAAGCCTCTGCTTCACTCTCACAAAGTGTGCTGGAGCTGTGGCACACAATTTCTCCCACCTTCAGTTGAGTCACCTCATAATGGTGGCAGAAAGCTAAAACACCAAATTCTGGCAAGAAGGTGATAAGGGCTACTTACTGGGACATCCAAAAAGATGCTTGAATATAGGTAGGAAAATGTATTTTTTCCTCCAATCTCAAAGGACAGACTGAAACAGCTCTGCTGGACTTTTTAAAAGCTGAGGCACGGTGTGGAAACATTCAGCAGCTGCAATTTAGAAGCCCTGAAACCCACGACTGTGGTGTGGACTGAGTAGAGGACATGTGGACTTGTCAGGGGCATTGGACTAGATGATTTTTAAAGGTCTCTTCCAATCCAAAACATTCTGGGTCTGTGTTCGTACTGTGGACTGTGTAGGGTGATCCTAAGTTTTGGTTCCTCACGTAAAAGTATGACCAGATTTTCCAAAGGGTGGACGCCACTAGGGATTCAGCAGAGCTAACACGGGAAGTTCAGACGGATGTCACCAGAGCAGGGTGTGCAATGTGCAATAGGTGACACTCCTGAAGTCTCCGCACCGTGTCTCCAGCCGGGTTGCCGTGGGCTGTCCTGCCCTCTAGCGCCTGCAGCTCCCGCTCCCTCCGGCCTCTCTCGCTCCCCGCGCACTCGCTCACTCACCCAATGGATGACGCTGCGGCTCTGAGCAAGGAAAAGGAACTGGAAACGCCCGTGGCCTCCCCTGTGCGATGATGAGTGCAGAGACAAACGGAGTAGAAGCCCTGAGGGAAAGTTAAAGGCTTCTTATCAAATCCACAGAGGAGGCAGACTTCTAATCAAACACAAAGTTCAAGCTGTTTCCTTCCAACTGACATAGCCAGAACTGCAATTTTCCTCAGTGCTCAAAAGAACCTGTATCTGACAACTTCCGCAGCAGCCAAGCACCCTGTAGCACCAGTGCCTGGCCGTGCAGCCCCACGTGCAGTCAGGGCTGTGTGCCAGACCCATGTGCTGGGGAACAGCAGCCCTTCTGGAAGCCAAGACCCACATCCAAACACCTACCTTCATTTCCCTGTCTCCTCAGCTCTGGGGTGATGGATCACATCATCACAATCTCTTTTTCTAAAGCATCTTGAGGGTCGGAATGACTTTTTGATTTCAGACTTAGTGATGGCAGCACACAGGCTTTCTGAAGAGGATGTCCCTATCCCTCTCCATGTTCCTGTCCCCTGGGTTCATGAATTTGTGGCTCACAGTGTTCTGTTTTATCTATGTGTCTCTGAATACTTTGTAACACTCTCAAGGAGCCGCTAACTGGTGAGGATGGGAAACCACCATTGCCAGGGCAGACCCTGCTGGTGGCTGCCCTACAAAATGAATGGCACTGGAAGAGGGCAGAGGCTGCAGTGCCTCAGCTAACACGGTCACGGTGCTGTGGGACAGGCACTGACACGGAGCCTTCACATCTGCTGGGGGTGAGGTTGGGCACATGGAGACCACCACTGTGTTCTGCTGTTCAGGAACAGGAGGTGTGGGGGTTGACTGGGAGTGCTTTGAAAGCCCCACAGCACAACCACAGGCATTGGGAAGCCTCCAGTGACATGTCTTGGCATCATTCTTTCTATTCCTGGACATGTGTTTCCTTTCTACCAAGATCTTGTAATTCAAGGTCTCATAATTAACCACACACTCAGCTGCAGATGGGATTTCTGAGAGATACAGAGGGCCCATACATGCCCCTTTCTGGAGGAAGTGGTGCCACTCTAAGTTTAATTGAGACTTGCTCAAATCAAGAAGTAGAGGCCGCTGCACCATCAACTAACGTGACATTTTGTTTGTGTTCACGCAGGGTGGCTGACAAGCTGCCGAGACCAAACCTCATTTTGCTCAAGCTCTTGCTCTCTCTGCTCCACCACATCAGCCAAAATGCCGAGACCAACAGGATGGACTCCAGCAACCTGGCCATCTGCATTGGCCCAAATATGCTGAGCCCAGGGACGGACAGCGCGCTCCCGCTGGAAGTGGAGAAGGAGATGAATGACAAGGTGCCTGAACTCACCGAGCAGCCACTCCCTCTGGGGCAATTTAGAGCCATGCATAGGGATCCATCCCACTGCCACTGCAGCAGCTGAACAGAACAGCACCCCTGGGCCTTGGGGGTGCCCCTCAGCTCATGTGTCCCTCAGCCTGTGATGGGATGGGCCAGGCTGCCCCTCATCTCGCCTCCTCTGAGCAAAAGCAGCAGCTGCCCTGCAGCCCCTTAAGTCACAGCTCCTGCAGACTTTGCATGTGAAGGGCAAGGGGCACCCGTAGCCATTGTCACCCCTGGGTCCTCGGGCAGTGAGGCCAAAGCTGTGGCTGCTGGTGTTTTGTCTGTATTGGGGCAGATCCATCTGTCTGCAGCATCAGGCCTTCTCCCCCATGGTGGACTCACCCTTGGACTTTAAGCCAGGATTTTGGCAGAAGCCACCCTGCTCTGTGTTGTCCTTCCTACAAAGATAGCAGGTAGGGTGAGGAAAAAATCTCCAATATGCCTTGACTGAAATGGGCTGTTTTCTGTGTGCAGGTGACAGTGCTGGTGGAGTTCCTCATAAACAACTGCTTGGAAATATTTGAGGGGGACATTGCCTTCCCTGCCTGTGCCTTGGCTGAGGAGTCACCAGAGCACACAGACAGCTCCACAGGTATGAGAATGGACTGGGGATGTCACCAACTGGGGCTGCTGGGCCAAATTATTGAATTTGATAGGTGAATATATCTGTGGAAACACAGAGAATTGCTGACAGTTCAATATGTTAATGAAGTGTTTTTCTACAGGAATGCCTTCCAGAAGTTCAAAATTACAACACTCACAATCCAGAGTTTACTCCCAATGGTAAACATCTGTTTCAAGCACATTTTGTTACAGATGTGCTGAGACTTCAAGGATCTTTCTGGCAGGCTTGTAAGAGAGAATCATTCTCCCAACCTAACTGATCCAGAAGTCTTTATTTTGTCACTGCTTCTCAGAAGGAACAGGCTATTAAAAGAAAGACACATTTTCAGTATAGCTGATATCCTATCTTTGTCCTTTTTTGCACTTGCCTTATCAGAGTTAATTGCTTCAAGAACTGTTTGTTCTTCAAGGTGAGATGAAACTTGAAAGTTTCGAATCTGGCTTCAGAAATCTGTAGTGTGAAATGTCCTCTCAAGAATCATTTTCAGAAGAGCAGAACACATTACAGAGAAAGTGATATTACAACATGCACAGATGCCTTTCTGCTGCCCTTCGTGCACGTAGCTTTGGGATGCTCTCTGTGTTGTTGGTTTATTTAGTTGGGCTTTCAGTTTTGGGTTTTGTTTCATTTCATTGTTCATTTATTGGATAATGTTTACCTTAATGATTTGTCAAGTTTAAAAATCATAGCAAAGTCCTGCAGTTTTGCCTTCTAGAGCTGAATTCATAAGAGCAGCAAGTGAGGTGCACACAAGGAGTGAGAAGGTACCTTTCTGGAGAGATAATCCTCTCAATTTTTCACCCAAGAATAAAAAGGAGTGCATGTGGCCATACAAATGAGAAAAGGAGAGGTGCAGTTCCCCAGCCACTGTGAAAACAAGTCTCCTGTATGAACAAAGCTTCTGATGCAAAACTGGGGCAAAATCAGAAAGGAACTTCTCCTCACAGAAGGTATTGAAACAAAAAAGTCTTCCATTTACACCATGAGGTTAAGTGCAAAATTAAGGAATATGTGTTTCCATGTGCACTGGTTCTGCTGCTTTCAGCTAAGAACTACACCACTGAGAAATGCTGTCCCCTACAAAAGGTGTCCAGCCCAAGGAGGGACTGGGAATTCAGAAATAGGGTCCAGATAAGAGCTCAGCTTCTCCCTGGCAGTCCCCACAGGGGCTGTGGGAGGCTGTGTGGTGTCTCAGGCCAGCCCACTCACCACTTAACCCTCAGCAGCACTCATGATTCTTTCTGCCTTAGCTGACACTAGTCTCCCACCCACACCTGCTGAATTGATGCCATGTTCATTGATTTGGAAGGGCTGTGAGATCTGGAACACTTACAAGGGTATATGCAGCTAACAGTAACAAAGAACAGGTGTTTATCAACTCCTTTGCAGGCACAATAAATATTTTGGTGGCTTCCTTGGTTCCAGGGTTTCCCACCACCAAAAAATCCCATGTTATGTAGAGATCTGCTTAGTGTTTGCTCCTGGCATGGAGCACGGTCACCATGTGGTTTTGTCAGAAAGAAATACACTTTGGAAAATACTTCATTTGGGATGAGCCATTCAAACTCCTACACAACCTTTAAAAAGATATGAAATTACTTTACTTTCTGTTACCACCAGATGTCACTGATAACCCTAAGCAAAGCACCTTTACCTGTGATTAGAGCCTTCCCTCAGAGGCAGGTTTGCACACCCACATATTTATTACCCATAGTCTGCACCATGGCCATGGGTGGTTGACGTTGCAGACATTGCTCTAGCATTTGTCATGAAGAGGTTATTCAGTGTAAAGCCCTTCCTTGCATCACTGCTGCTTATCACACACTTTGGGTTGTATAATGTTTTTCTCCAAATCTCTCCAGACTGGATGGGCATAGACTTAGGGACTGGGCTTCCCTAAATGTACAGCTGTGGCAGTGACCAGGAGACCAGCGTCAGGCTTACTGATGCAACCTGGCAAGGTCCCAAAAAACACATTTTCCACAGTCCAAGGTAAACACAAAAAACCTGAAAACTGAAATGCTAATAAAATTCTACCATTTGGCTTGTACCAAAATGGTTCCAATAGGCAACAGAGGATTAAGATAATCTTTAGAGAGACAATCAAGGAGATTGACGTGGCTGCTACTGAGGGGCTGCCAGCAGCCACCCTCTCCCCCTTGCCCAGGGCAGATGGAACAGACAGACCCAGATAGGATGGGCCTGGGGGCTGACAGGGAGCTGAGAAATGACTAACAGAAGAGCTAGCATCACATCTGCCTCTTCAGCCCTGACAGAGTCTCACATAGGCACCTCAGCAGGAAATGGAGCAAAGGCTAATGTTCCTAAAGGTCTTCAGAGTATTGTCTGCCACATGTGCTGACCTAGAAGGGTAGATCCCAATCTGAGAGTGGAATATCAGGAGTGACACCATTCAAAGACTTGATTCACACCCCATACCCTCAAAAGGACCCACTGGACTTCACTGTGCCACCTAGATATGTGACCTCAAAGGCAAGCCCTGCCTTCCACGCATCCTGGGCTAGAACTATTCAGTGATAATCAGGGCAGCTCTTGCTTAGATGGAAAAGCTCTCTTGGAAAGTGTCACACTCTCGGTGGGTGGCTAAAAATCAGAAGTAATGAGAAGTAACCATCAACAAATCCACTCGGTGGTTCGAGGATCAACAGGTTTGAATGTGTTAAACTGAGTGTCTATAGTCAGATGGTTTGAGGTCAAAATTAGGCTAGAACAGCACAGATACATTCTAAAGGTGAAATGTCCCTCTGTAAACTCTGGAGTTTTTGTCACAGTAATTCAACATACTGTGCTATATATTTCATTTATCATTAATTCCTAAAAGTATCCTAATAGATGTCATCTCTCTGAAACTAGAATCTTCCATGCTCACCCCACCTGCTTGTTGGTATTTGAGAACAATTGCTCTGTTTCTTTTGGTGACACACAAGATGGGAGCTGAAATCTGGCAGGGAAAATTTGGTTTAGGTGTTGAAGTCAATGGGACCAGGGTTTAACAACAGTTTTGTTTTCATGAGAATGGAGACTCTTATCATGACTTCATATAAATCATTCTTATTATGGATTCTTTTATCTAGTTTAAAATAAATAAAAAGGACATTAAGGTGTGCCATGTGAGAACTGTAAATATGTTAGCTCCTTTGTGGAATATTAAATATCAGTTTTAGGGATTACTCATTACTGGATGTCCTCTTGTATTTTTACAAGACTTAGCATCAGTAGGAGGATTGCTGTGGATATATGCAAAAATATTCAAGCCACTGAATACTTACTTTAATATTTATTTTAGAAATCATCCAAGGGGGAAGTGGTCAACACGAAGATTTTAATTTCTGCTATTTCTACCTTTTTATTGGCTAGAAAATTTAATTAGAAGGTGTTGAGTTATAGTATTTAAATTATCTGTGACATTATTTTTACTCTTAAACTGTTGTAAAAAAAATTAATTATTTATACCAATTGCAATAATTCAGTAATACTGGTTTATGGAAGGTCAAGAACGCTCTGAAGAGAAAGTCCAAAGTTTGTACATTACTGCTAATCTTCACATAACATTAAAAGTGTTGTTTGGAGAGTCCCTGTCCTCACGTACCTGAAGTGATATGAACAACTCACAAGTAGAGAAAAGAAAGCATGTTTGGTTATATCTAGAAAGACAGGATCCTGATTTCATAATGTTCTTTTTTTTTTTTTTTTTTAAGTAGAATGTGAAGAGTTTGTTTGGATTTTTATGTTGTGGAAATTGTCAAGAGACTACAAGGTCAGCCTAAGGTGTTTTAGCTAATGCTGCTTGGGATTACACCCCCCACCTGCTGTAGTATGGGTGGAGGGCGCTTGTGGAAAGTTTTGTGAAAACTTACATGTAGGTATTTTTCCTCTAGCATCATTCATATGAGAGTGCCAATTTTACATCATTAGAATTTACAAATACACCCAAGCTTATAAATAATACCCACACTTCAAAATCTGTACTTAAGAAAAAAAGAAGTGACATGAAAATATTACTACACTGTAAAAAATACCTTGCAATAAATTTGCAGAATATATTAGGAGAGCCAATTCTCTTAATCCTAAAATATAGTGCAATCTGTGCTCTTTTGTCAACAGCTAATGGTTGTGTTTGATAAAAAACCTCATAAATCTGTTTCCATACCCCCTAAATGAAATATTTGATTAATGATAACAGCAGCATGGGCACCAGGAATGCTTATTTGATGAAAAATATTTCTTCACATGGATAAGGCATACCCAAGTTTAAAAGAATAATATTATAATGGCCATTCCCAAGACACCTTTTGCAAGTGACTCTTGCTGAAAGGACATGACTGTGCTCTGCAGCCAGCCTGGCAGTCACATTCCTTCGGCTGAGTGGGAATTATTTAAGTTTGCTCTAACTTAAAGATAGCAGTGGTAACAGAATTTACTTAGGAGCCAGACAGGCTCCTATGCCAATAAAATTGCACTGCACTGACCCAGAGAGGGCATCTTGCTAGTAGACAGATCAGTGGTTGGGCAGGTTCTGCTGCATTTCCTTCCACTTGCCCCAAAACATTTGCACAAAGCAGCATTAGAGTCGTGCAGCAGGGACAATCTGACAAATGGGCAGGGAGCTGGGGGGTACTAAAGGGTACAAGAGTTGTGCCTGACAGGTGACACCTGGCCCTGGGCTCTCTGCTGGGTAGCAGAAGCAAGTGAGTGTCCTGAGGCTGGAGAAGTGAGGTTACTCCAGGGTAACAACCTTGCAAGCTGCCTGCCAAAACCATCATATGGCCAAAGGTTAAGGAAGAAGAGAAAGCTCCAGCATGGGTTTACTTGATCCCCATGGGCCCATGCTCTCCATGGGGCTGGGGAGCCACCTCTGCCTACATTCTTCTTCTTACAGCATAGTGCTTGTGCCTGAGGTCCCCTGGCAAATTTGACACACCAAATGAAGAGCAAAAATATCATTCACTAAAATGAAAAAAACTACAAATTCAAACTAATGTATTTTCATGTTTACAACTGCCCAGATGATAGGCACTGTCTTGTTCTG